TCTTGTTGCCTCGCAAGAAATCGCGACGAACTCTCGGTTTGGCGGATTATCGTCATAAACTTGTTCAATTACACTTGGCCGCCAGACCGAGGTACCGGTCCTCTCGCGCGTTCCGTACCCCCCGTGGAGAGGTCACGTGCACGGTGGAAAGTCACGCGGCAACCCCTGGGAAAAACTCAAAAATGGGGGTTTTCTAATGTTAAGCAACAATCCCCTTCCCTTGGAAAGAGCTGCGTCCCACTCCCCCGTGGAGAAGTCACGTACGCGGTGGAAAGTCACGCGGCAACCCCTGGGAAAAACCCAAAAATGGGGGTTTTCTAATGTTAAGCAACAATCCCCTTCCCTTGGAAAGAGCTGCGTCCCACCTGAACAACCTTCTGCAATAAGGAGTCAGCACCTACAACCCCCAGAAGAAATCGGCCACCAATCAGCAACTGGTCGAGCGGATAAAACTAAGGAAACGAGGCAGAAGCGCGTCCTTTTTTGGAAGTCTTGGCAGTTGGTCTTACGAAAATTAATATTTTGATAGTTTCGTGGCGACGTCACCTCAAGTATCACTCCGTTGCAAATAAAACTAGTTCTTAGTATTTCACACTGTGATTAAACTCGCGTACCGGTTCGGCAATTAAGCATCGAACATTACGCGACCCGAACAATTTTGTTCCTCGCGATATTCTTCTATTCAAACTTCATGCTATGGGAATAAAAGAGCCTACCTTAGCTCGGCTATCCAGTTACCTCTCGGAACGAAAACAAATAGTTCGAATCGATAATTGCGACTCTTTTGAAATGAATGTAACGTCTGGTGTCCCACAAGGTTCCCACCTTGGGCCGGTACTCTTTACCTTATTTATAAACGATCTGCCGAATCAGCTTGAATCCTGCTCCTAAAGATATTTAAAAATGTAGCAAATCTGTCTGATTGTTCTCAGCTCCAACTTGACATTTGGAATATTGAGCATTGGTGTCGTCTCAATGGAATGTCCCTCAATTTCTCCAAATGCAAAGTAGAGATCTCACCGACAGGTCGTCCCTTTTCTTTTTGACTATAAGCTGAGTGGCATTTCGTTATCTGTCATTTTCGAGACCTGTGATCTGGTTGTCCGTTTCTCCTCCCTCCTAGACTTCTCTTCACACATAAAAGACACTGTAAAAGAATCTACAACGACCTTGGTTTTCATTAAGCATAATGTAACTGCGTTTCGAAATATTGGATCATTCAAACTACTTTACTCTGCCCTAATCCACGGCTAGAATATGCGTCAATGATTTGGTCACCAAACCAACACAAATGCTAGAAATTAATCGAAAGAGTCCAACACAAATGCCTGAGATTTGTGGCATGCAAGCTTGGAAACTCCATGCATTTCTCCGACCACGACTACGGGCCTATCATGAACAAATTGAATCTAAAGTCACTTGAGGATCGTAGAATTATAAACGACCTACTATTCTTACATAAAATCTTGAATGGACATACAGCTTGTCCCTTTCTCCTCTCATGCATCAGCTTGGTTTCATTAAGCATAATGTAACTGCGTTTCGAATTATTGGATCATTCAAACTACTTTACTCTGCCCTAATCCGCGGCTAGAATATGCGTCAATGATTTGGTCGCCAAACCAACACAAATGCTAGAAATTAATCGAAAGAGTCCAACACAAATGCCTAAGATTTGTGGCATGCAAGCTTGGAAACTCCATGCATTTCTCCGACCACGACTACGGGCCTATCATGAACAAATTGAATCTAAAGTCACTTGAGGATCGTAGAATTATAAACGACCTACTATTCTTACATAAAATCTTGAATGGACATACAGCTTGTCCCTTTCTCCTCTCATGCATCAGCTTGCACGCTCCATGTAGACCCATAAGATCATCTCTTACTTTCCTACCGCGTAGATACTTATCCAGGTTTGCTTCGTCTGACCCCATAAGTAGAATATGCGATATCGCAAATAATTATTGCTTCAAACTTGACTTTTTCAATACCCCGTGTTACTCTTTCAAGACAGCCGCTCACAAGTTATTCTAGATATGCAGATATATACGTCAATCGAAACTGCTTAATTTGAATCTCATTTTTTGTCCGTCTTTTCTGTTATCTTTTCAATGTATAAGATTGTATCTTCGTTACTATTAATGGGTTGTTGCCCGTATAAATAAATAAATAAATAATGGTCCAATCGTTGAATATTCCAAAATTTTAAAGCTTAAGTATTTGAGTACTACAATTTTCCAAAGCTAGGATATATGAATAATAACAATAGAATTGACAATTTTCAAAGGGAAACCTTGTAGTACGATGGACTCATATCTCAGGTCGTTTAACTTCTGCACTGTAATTAATGATGCTTGCAGTCGGGCGTTATCATGTAAAAGAATCGGACCATTTCTGTTGATTAGTGCCGGACGGATAACTGACAGCTTTTGATGCATTTCGCTAAGTTCATTGCAGTACTTATTTCCCTTTTTCAAAAAATTACGCGGAATAATTCCGTCAGTTACCGTTTCTGGATGTTCTTTAGGTTTTGATAAGTGTCTAGGTGGTTCGTTAAGATCCAATCACTATCCAGATCATATCCGATTATCACAAATTACCCAATTTTCATCACTGGTGACAATTCTGTCAAGAAAAGTGTCTTTAATATTCCGCAGAATATAGGAAGAGCAAATAAAGACACGAAGCATCCGCTGATTATCAGACTTATTCATTTTCTTTGCTTACCTATGTTCTGTAGATGGCACAAATAAATTAATGAAACGTTGACAAAGGTGTATCGATTGTAATGGTTCTTATTTTGAACGAATATTGGACTGTGGAATATGGACTATTTAACTATTGGAAATGGGTTATTGAAATAAAACAGTCTTTGTAACTGCTAATATTCTGTTTATTCTTCAACTCAGAGGAAACGTCTTTACTCTTTCAAGTGCTCTATCGAACTGTCTCTGGACACCCGAAAAGGGAAAGCTGGGGTCCGCTTATACCTACGAACTACCCTGCTGTATTGCAGTGTGCAGTCTTAGTGTCTTTGTCTAAAAGAACGCGGAGACATTTTTGTCCTCACTTGATTATTTCTCCAGGGTGCTGTTAGAAATAATCCAACACTAACAATTAATAACTCCAACTATGAAGGTTAACGCACCAGAATAATTGCATTTCGCACAATGATTATGAGAGCCACGTAATCTTCTAGAGAAAAATTCTTGTAAACTACAAGCGATCTTGCAGCTAGCTAGGGTGGATCCAGGGTGATCGAACGTGTTTCTTTGAACGACTCTTCTCCAACCCCGTCCTCGTGTCACTCCCCTATGCAACACTATATGGAACCCGTGGATCATGCTTCATCGGCCCAGAAAAATCTTGCCGCGAGCATGAAAAGAAAGGGGGTGAAGGAAGAAAAAAGGAGAGAAAAAAAAAGGAGGACGAAGAAGACTCGAGGCGTAAAGGCCGTGAAAAAAAGGGGTAAACGAAAGGGAGAGCCGCGAGGAGGACTCACCCGCGCGCGTTCACGGGCCTTTCACCTGGCGGCAGGCGGTGTCGTTCTCTTTTTTTCCCTCCTCCGCGCGGCGCAAAACGAAGACGAGCCGAAAAGGGACAGCGTGGCTCGCGAGAACCCCTTTGAAAAATTATCCCACCGAGCGGAACACCTCGCATAATCCCGCGCATACTCTCGTTTACCTTTATTTTTCAACTGGCGGCCCACGTTGACGCTCGACGTCGTTTCCTGGACACGCGTGCAAATGTAACTGTGCACGTTTCGTTTCTTCGTTTTGAGAGATGGAAAAAGAGACGCGGCGGTTTGTCTTCTTCTTTTTCTTTTTTTGATGAAGGGATCGTGTAGGAGTATTTGTGTTTTGTTTGCTCCTTGTTAAAAGATTTGTAAAAATCTCTTTGATAGTTGGATTCCTTTAGAAAGATTGCTTTTCCTAAGTCGCTTGGTTACCAAGGTTTTTCGAAAAATACATCTTTGGTCTTTGAGCGCTGGTTTTACCTCTTCTTGAGAGAAATATGTGTGTTGAAAAATTTTTTATTGAGAATTATACAGAGCGTGAGGAGGTTCGATAATTTCATTTCTTAGTGAGGTAATGAATCTTAATATGGTTTAATGACAGAGAAAGGAAGAAATTGCTTACACTTTTTCTGTATGGTGTCGAGTTTCACTACTAACAATAAGCTAGGAGATTATTAATTTTGAAATGCAGGGAGATAGGTATAATAATTTGTACCAATCAGTTTCTAATGAGATATTCATTATTAAAGTTGCAACACGCTTTTAAATAAATAATGACAACGTATTAAACACTTCTTACCTCCCTTAATAGCTGAATTTAGCATCAATTTCATTTAGAGATTTATTATATTTCATTTGCGATTTATCGTGTCTAGTTTCTCACTATAAAGAGCGATTTTGCGTGTAAAAATAAACTGAAAATA